GCCCTCTGGCATGGGGAGGAGCTGGGCCTCGTTGGCAATGATTTTGGACGCATAGGAGCCCTGGGCCGCGCCAAAGACCTTGCTGCCCACGGGGAAGCGCGGGTTGGATTCGCCAGACGGGGTGGCGAGGACAATGCCGCTGAACTCGGCGCCGCTTACCCAAGGCAAGGCTGTTTCCGGGAGAAGCGAGTCAGGGTCAGCCCCTTTCGTTCATCGAAGGTTGGATACCAGACAGAGGAGGGAAAGACATACGCGGCTGGTTCTGGTATTTGCCCTGGATCTGGAGAATGTCGAAAAAGTTTGTCGCGGCGGCATGGACCTCGATGAGGTAGTCGTTGGGGCCGGGTTTGGGCTCGGGCACGTCGGTGACCTTGAGCTCCTTGGGGCCCTGGATGTGGCGAAGAGTCTAGGTTAGCGACAAGATACGACATGCAAGCGGGCAGCAACTTGGAGGGCAGTGTGAGATGACACACCTTGACATATTCGGCGATCTGGATGCCCCTCATGGTGGTTGGAGAAGTGTGATGTGTGATTGAGGGAGTGCGGTGAAGACGGTAGAGCTGCGCAGGTACGCTGATGGCGTCTCGAGTACAATGGCAGGGCTCGGTTGCAAAAAGTGGTTGAAAGGTGACAAGGGGGCCACAGTTTGGCTCGGCAGTCGAGAAGTGCAAGGCGAGAGGAAAGGGCGCTAGCGGATTGAGCCTCGGGTACTCCGTACAGGTGGCTGGAACCATTCCGCCCCCGCACGTGATTTCCGCGTGGAGCCGCTGGCCCCTGCATGCACCGTCTCCGGCGGGTCCGGGGCTCGTCCTGGACTCCGCCTTTGCGGATCCGGATGCTCACTGCCTTTCTGGGCCTTGTTGGTCACTTGCATTGCTATTTTAACTTCGGAAACCAATTCGTTTCTCTCCAACAGCACTCCGTTGAGCATCAAGCGGACTTACTTGATGCAGTAGTCCGAAACACCCCAAAAGTAGACACAAGTCATAGCAGCAGCGTCTGTCATAAATCAGGCAAAGGTGAGAGGAAGAAGGAAGGTGGGCGTTGTGGTTGTTTACAGACTTACATGCCTGGAGCAAAATAGCGAGGATATTTGCAAGGTTGTCGCGGGCAGGCCGACTGTCAACCATGGGCGGGGGCTGTGATGAGCTTGTTGCCCCGGTTAGAGATGATTTCGCAACTGTCTTTCACATGATTGCGACACTTGGACCACTGTTGGCAACACCGGTATACACAGGATGCATGCCCCATGGCATCATTCCAAGAATGATACCGATCGAAACAAGGCCATACAACGTGCACTTGGAATCACAGTGTGTCGAATCACATTCATGCAGTGTTTACTGTATAGTTCGCTTCTTATCCTTTTTCATTCCTACTTTAAAACTATCAAATCCCCTCTCAGAAAGAGCTAACATGTGAATTATGTCCGCCTAGAAAAAGCTTCCAGGCTACTGTGTTTGTGCGCGTTTTCTCATGAATAGGGGAGACGACTAAAGACAATCAAGCCAAGCCGTCCCGCCAGTCCAAAATCCAATCTGCTACTACTATTACAACAATCGAAACGCTTAGGTGCGGCCGACGAGGCCAGCCTTGGGGGCGTTGTCGGGGTTGAGGTTGGCGCCGGCGAAGCCGAGAGCGTCGTTCCACGCCTCGGCAGTGCTGGCATCGCGGGCGCCGCCCTTGAGCGCCGCCTGGGTGTCCTTGCACAGAGTCTTGCCGGCCTCGGAGGCGCCGCAGACGTTGCCGAGCTGGTCGCAGATGCGGTTGAAGATGATGTCGAAGTTGAGAGCCTCCTGCTGGCCCTTGTTGACGACGGGGTCCTGGGCCTGGAAGGTGAACTCGCCCGCCTTGCGGCCGTTGAGGGACTCCTCGAACTTGACAGTGGGGGTGCAGGTTCCGAAGTCGACACCGAGCGATGAAGCTTGGAAGCCGGCGAAAGTACCAGTGACGGGGTCGTTGACAGCTCCGGCGCCCGCCGCAGCTCCAGCACCAGCACCTGCTCCCGCACCAGCACCAGCACCGGCACCACCGTTGTTGTTGTTGTTGTTCTGGTTGCCGTTACCAGCATTGCCGTTGCCAGCACCAGCACCAGCACCAGCACCAGCTCCCGCACCTGCACCTGCACCTGCACCAGCGTTGCAGTCCTGGGCGGCACCACCGTTGTTGTTGTTGTTACCGCCGCCGTTGTTGTTCTGGTTTCCGCCGTTGTTGTTGTTGTTGTTACCTCCACCGTTGTTGTTGTTGTTGTTGCCGCCGTTGTTCTGGTTACCGTTGCCAGCATTGCCGTTGCCGGCACCAGCTCCCGCACCCGCACCGCCGCCAACAGCAGCGCCGTCGATGGCCAGGTTGCTGAAGCCCTGAGCGATCATGATCTCAGCTACAGACAGACCATTGGCGTTAAAGGGCTGAGCGAGGGACTGCTCAGAGTTGGCGTTCTGGGTCGCGGAGCCGGTAACGGCGGGGTCGACCAGGGGGATGATGCCGCGGAGCTCGGCGGTGGCGGGCAGCGAGGCGTCGCCGCAGATGTTAGGGATGGTGGTGGCGAAAGGGTTGAAGTTCTGCTCGGCGGCAACGAGACCGGCGGCAGCGGAGATGACCTCGGGGTCATTGCCCAGGGCGGCGACAATGTCGTCGGCTAGGCTGAGCTTGAGGCAAGGGTTGGCAGCACCGAGGAGGGAGCTAGGGACCTGGCCAGCGAGGGTGGCGGCCTGGCCGGGGTTGCCAAAGGAGCCGAGGGCCTGGATGGCAGCAACGGGAACCTGCTCCTGTCCGAAACGGGCTTCGGCGGCGGCCACGAGGGCAAGAAGGGTAGTAGCACGGGTGAACATGATTGCGGGTTGAAAGTTGTGAAGTCGTGTCAAAAAGAAGGTTTCGAGTAGCGAATGGATCCAAGAGAATAAAACCGGCCGGGCGGTATGTCGAAAAATGTAGTGAAGGACTGAAGTGAATGAGTTACCAGAACTCTGTTGATGAAAGAAGGACGAAACGATTTGTGGATGAGAGAGATGGGATGAATTGTGTTTGACGGGGGACGGCACGGCCGCAATATATACAAGTTTCCCAGAGAAGGACGCTCGCGGCGAGGGCTTTGGCGAATCTACCATGCCTGCCTAGTTTGTTCTTCAGGGGTTGCGAAGCGCTCAGCAGCTTCATCGAGTCGTTTCACTGGCAACGGAAAGGAGCAGTGGTGGACTCCCGAATCGGTCGCAGCAATGCACAAGGGGGCTTCCGACCAGGGTGCCAATGCGAGATTCATGGCGCCGTCCCATGTCGAACAACCTCGTCGATAGTGGAAACAGCCTCATGCCCCATCGCATGTGCATGGGCGGCACCAGAGCCGCTTCGGGCCACTTGCCGAGGGTACTAGCGACCGGCTGAATAGGCGGGTCATGATGAGCTGGGACTCCTGAAAGGCCTGGACAGGAGCGCCGTAAGGGCTGTGAAACATGGCCGAGGCTGGGTGCACTGGACTTGGGACTTGCCTCACTGTGCCTCTAGACTCGCTCGACTCGTTCGCCAACCTAATGGCCGTAATCCCGGTGCGTTCCTTGAGGGCAGCCAGGGTTTGCTGAGCTCATCTTGAATCCTGAGACGACCGCATAGCCAAGAAATGAGCACAGCTGACCCCAGACGCCTTCGGCCCTGCAGCCGCCTCAGAAGTTCGGCCAGGAACAAACAGATGCGTTTGTTCTGTGCGTTGCACGAGTCGATATCAACCGCAGGAGAGAAAAGTTCGGTCAGGGGGCATGCTCCAATATCAGCAGATAGGTTTAGATAAGTAACTTTTCCTATGATGGCAACCTTGCTGTTCAGGTCCGCGACTGCAGGACTAGACCGTCGGCTAGATTGAGCAATGTCCTCGGTGTCGTCGTCTCTGTCGATGTTGATCAACTCCTTGGCAACGGGAACTCAAACTCTGAAGGCTAAAAATGAGCCGCACTTGACAGGACCAAAGTCCAGACTCGCCAGAGAGCTGCGACGAGGACGCTAAATCAAAGGGGCGGCCTAGACCCACAGGGGTTCGGCGCCGGATCCCTGCCGCCGCCGTCTCCTGAGACGACTTCGAGACCGGGACGGGGTCGCAGCCCGGTCGGCCCGTTTTATTGCTGTTCTTGTGACCAGCGACCGGCACCCCAAGATCCAGTTCTTCGCAGACTGCAGTGCTTGACCACGAGGCCTTCAGGGACACCTGCCTGCCTCAGTCGTGTTTGGGCCGGTTTGAAAAGGTGACCCTGCTTTCTACGTGGTCAACCGAGTACTTCATGGTCTCGATAATCTAGCCTACGCCTCACCTGTAAGACCCTACCTGTTACGAGCTAGGGCGCTCTTGTTTGAGTTCCGGGCAATAAACTCTCGCACTCGCTCGCAAGAAGCCAAGACTGATGATATGCAACAGCCTCGTTGCTTGGTGCTGTCAAGGATGGAAAACGGCCCGGGAAACCGTGCCAAACAGTCGTGATGCGCTAGAGAGGTTTCATTGTTTGCGGTTTTTGAGCCTAATTTCAGAAAAGTATCGCTCCCTGGTGAACTCAACGTCGTCGGGACTAGGAGACTTTTGGTGCTTGACAGGCTGATGGCATTCGCTCGGCGGGATCAGCACACAAGTGGTGTCTGTGGTCGTTCGTGAGCAGTGATGCCTCGAATGACGCATTGCTTCTTGTCGCGGGCAAGCTAGCGATGAATCGCGTCATCCTTGGGCCTCATGATCTCGAACGAAACGTGAAATTCAGGAGCGTGCGTGCGGAGCACATGGATGAATGCAGCCGGCGGGTCAGAAGAGAACATGGAACCTTGCAGCCACGTCACAGGTGGAAAAAAGCAAGCACGACCTGGGGACCGTCCGTGCATTCGGAATCCCTGTAAACCAAACCACAAGGCAGGCACGTGCATGCAGGCGCGAAAACAAACCTTCGGACGACATCATCCACACTCTAGGAATCAAACACATTTCGGGCCAGCCTGCAAGAAGAGCGCAGTGGGAGCAGAGTGCAAAAAGATGATCTCGTTGGGGCTCGAACCCAAAATCTCCTGATGACAGGACCGTGAAACTTCCACAGATCGTCGTAGTCAGACGCCTTGCCATTGGGCCACGAAACCTCATTTGATGGAAAGGCATGTCCTTACAGTGAAAAAGAATGACAAAATCCTGAGGGAATCAGAAACCAACATTTTTCCTCATTGCACGTTGGCGAACATGAAATGTCCGACTCATGGATGGCGAATAAGTTCAAGGTTAACAATTAGTACCCACCCTGTGCAATTCAAGTTGGATTTAGTTAATACTGGTCTCGTGTCGCTTATCAGGCGTTGACGAGAGAAAAACATTTTGATTGTTACGACAAGTATTTGGGGATGTATCAAATAAAATTTAGAAAACAAAACAAAAATATTTAAGGAAAAGTCAGTGTCAAGAATTAAGTCGCGATGGGCAAATGAGCAAAAACAAGTTAATGTGAGTTCTTAAACTATGTACGATTTTGTATTTCTCAAGTTTTGAAGAGAGCTCACAGAGCATGGTCCAAATCATGGAGGAAGGGTATCAATTTTGTTTTCAATTTCAACCAATTATGATAGAGAGCGATGTCTTGATTTGGCGGGAACATTTCCCCACGTGCTGCTTCATAACGACCCGTCCGTATGCGCTGACAACCTCGAGTTGCATTCGGGGCTCGGCCCAGAGTAAGCAAACATGGCAGGTAGTCTCGGTAGTCTGGGGACATATCGTGGGGAACGACGAGCATCACAGACATCTCCACAGATCAGCGCCGGTCGACCCCGCGTGCCGAGCCACAGTTCAGATCTTCCCCCATCTTCAGTCTCTATCGTCGGTATGTTCCGTGTGATCACCAGTAGACTCTCGAACTTACGAGATCCGACGTCTCGATCTCCGAATCGCCGAGCTGGCTGGAGTATCGCCAAGACTGCGAGAATGACCAGACGTATGATTTGTCCACATAGGCACTACACAACAAAGCAATCGCGCCTTGGCTAGAAGCTCTTCTCCTCACTTCAAGGTTGACTGATGCTCTTGGCAAGTTCCTGACTAGGATGTAACTCGATGTCCTTACTCGCGCGGGGTTATCCTGCCTCCAATAACTGAGTCAACATGGGAGGGACTGGTGTTGATACTCCCGCGGCGGGCCAATGTACACTGGTGATTGACACATATTTTCTTCAGCCTCAAGCGGCCCTAAAGCAGGCGGAAGGAAGCCGATGGTTGCCAACTTGCATTGCCCAGACTGCCCAGACCACTCCAAGGGGAAGGTAAACATGTTTGGAGACGGAGTGGTCCAAGCATTGCAGAGCGGAGGATGTCGGCATGCAGGGTACTGGCTTGGACAGCATACCGGCGATAATGACCTCTGCCGGGAGTTGTCCGAGAGGAAGATATATTTTGGGTTGCATTGGGGCTGCTTGTTGTGCTGTTCGGCTCCCGCAAGTACGCGTTGTTTCTCGGTGCGATATCCTCCTTGGCTGGCTTGGTCCAATGCACACATGCCGAGTTTGAGGACGACGGACCCAGGCCCATGGTACAGGAATCCAAGAATGCAACGAGACGCTCGCTGGACAGACTGCCACTCTGTACCTTGGACTGTGCAGTCAAATAGGGCAGACTCGGAGATCGTGAGCCCAAAATATCTTTTTTGGAGAAGTTGCAAGCAGCAGCTGTGGGGTCGCAGGCTGGGCTGGGTTTACGGCAATTGGTCGTGTGTGGCGCCTGCCATGCATGGAGCGGAGTGGAGGGTCCAGGTCAGGTCAACCTCGCGTCTTTTTGCTCCGTGCCCGGCCTCCAATGCTGGGCTGGGTGTCTTCTCCATACCTCCTCTTAATAACGCCCCGATGTCGTTACTATCGCCGCCGCCTTCACTCCCAGCAACGCACCAATATTTCCTGGGCAGCAACGGCTCGTCTCTTTCGACAGAGCGCAGCCATCGTCACGAGACTGCTGCGGTCACCGTCTCGGTGAAATTCCGTCGGCGCCAACCAGCCAAGCCGGCCTGGCTCCTCCCGCCAAGCCTCCCACGCATGCTCGCTGTCGTGCGAACGGCAAAGCCAAGCCTGCACAAGACATGCTTGGCCCGACGCAATGACTCTGACCCTCCTTATGGCCATTTATCGGGCAAATGTCTATCCCCGCGGATCCATCCTCTGGCGAAGCCACCCGCAATGCACCCTGCAACCCATGCGCACACGGAGCCAACGACGAGAACTGGTCGAACCGCCGCTCTCTTGGCGGCCAAGCGCAACGCACTCGTCCTCACTGCCGTGTTGCGGCTCTCCTCTCCTGTCAATGCCGAGGCGGGATACCCACAGGCACAAAGAGCTCGCTTCTCCAGCTTCGAGAGAACCTTTGAGGTGCAGGAGTACAAGTGAATCCAACGGCATCACCATACGCGAGATGAGATAGTGGCATGCTCGATAGCCTCGCCAACTACCGTGACGGAAGGCGGGCATGACGTATTTCCCGCGGGGCACAACGCTCCGTACAGCTCGCGAGATTTAGTTACACAACGCCGGCGAGGACATGCACGATCCAGACGCCGCTCCTGACATGGGCTCCTGGCCGGCTTGGCAGTCAGCACATCTCCAATTTTCTCGTGGGCGTTGTATTGCCCGCCGACGAGCCAGTAGGAGTCGGGCCAAAAAAGACACGAAAAGATCTTCACATACTCCTCAACCTCCACACGCACCCCCCCCGTTAGCCTCTAGCACTAGATGAGCATGCGAGCGACCCTATTGTCCGGGGTCGGTGGCGACCTGGCCACTTACCGTGGACCTTGGAGTCTGCCAAGGCTCACCTCGAAGGCGATATGTCCACCAACATACATTTCTGAATGGGATCGCCTCGACCGTGCGGTCTGGGGAAGATGCGGAGAAGTGCTCCTTCGTGTCGTGTATAAAAAAAGGATCCCCAGATTCCCCAGGTCGATCGGACCCTTTCCCCAGAGACATCTCCATCAGTGGAACGCTCTTGCCGTGCTCTAAACTGGTTGCTCCTTGCCCCCACTTGTTATTGAAACTATCTTCACTTGCTCAGGCATATCCTTAACGCCCTCCTCCAATAGCCTTCTTGAATTCAGATGGGCAAAAGTAACTGGTACAGTACTCATGCTCAGGGTACCAGCGACCCTGCAGAAGTCCGAAATGGCCACATCCACTTAGTCGCCCTCGTGGCGTCCATGTCGGCCCTCGCCAGTAAGTCTTTGCCCTATCCGTGCACTCGTCACTTGATGCTGATCATATCCTTCATCACCTCACAGTGGGCTACGACACCTCTGTCATTGGGGGTACAATGGCGCTTGATTCGTTCGTCCGCGACTTCAAGATGGGCGAGCTGGCTCCGTACACTCGTGACACTATCCAGGCAAACATTGTCTCGACCTTCCAGGCGGGATGTGCCGCAGGTGCTCTCTTTACCTTCCCTCTTGCTGAGCGCATCGGCCGTCGCTGGACCATTGTCTTTGGCGCCCTCGTGTTTTTGCTTGGTGGCACTCTCATGACTGCTGCCATGGGCAATCTGAACATGATTTACGCCGGACGCGCCATTGCTGGCCTTGGTATCGGCTGCACTTCCCTGGTCGTACCCGTCTACATCTCCGAGACTGCGCCACCGTCCATCCGTGGCCGGCTCATCGGCATCTTTGAGGTCGCATCTCAAGGTGGAGGCATGATGGGCTTCTGGATCAACTAGTGAGTCGTCCACGAACCTGAAACCTACCATCGGATGGCGCAAAACTGACGTTAATGTTTCATCCAGTGCCACAAACCGGACAATTCCTGTCGAGCAACAGGCACAGTGGATCATTCCCTTGGCTATCCAGCTCATTCCCGGTGTGCTTCTTGTTGCCGGCATGATTTTATTCTGCCCAGAGTCGCCTCGCTACCGGGCTCGCATGGACGACTTCGAAGGCTGCGAGAGAATCCTCGTCAAGCTCCGAAACCTCCCTGCCGACCACCCGTACATGGTGAACGAGATCAATGAGATCCGCGAGCAGATCCAAATGCGCTCTACCTTGACAATGAGCAAGAAGGAGCAATTCATGAAGCTCTTCCAGAAGGGTACGAGGAATCGCATGGGAATTGCGATGGCACTCATGTTCCTGCAGGTATGTCTAGATCCACGAGGCTTCTTAATGTGCTCCAAGCACGCGCTGACTTGCTGTTTCTGCTGCAGTCCTTCACCGGCACCAACGTCATCACCTACTACGCACCCCGCATTTTCCAGAGCATTGGTATCTCGGGTACTTCCAACAAGCTCTTCAGCACCGGCTTCTATGGAATCTCCAAGACTTTGGGCATGATTGCATTCACCGTGATTGTCGTTGAGCGTGTCGGCCGTCGCAAGGGTCTTGTCTGGGGTTCTGCGCTTGGCATGGTCCCTATGTTCTTCCTCGGTGGTTATGTCCTCATTGCAGTAAGTTGTTATGTTCAAATTCAACTACAGCACCGCCCTGAAACTCGAGAAAACTACATGCTAACCCATAGTCTCTTCTCACAGGACCCAACCTCAAAGGTCAGCACCGGTGCCATCCAGCAGGACGGCTGGGGCTACGCCGCCATGGCTGCCATTTATCTCAACGCCTTCATAATCTGCGCGACCTGGCAGGGTATCACGTGGACTTATGCGTCCGAGATCTTCCCTTTGGATATCCGCATGCTCTGTGTTGCCATCACGACCTGCACGACGTGGATCGGTTCTTTCACTATCGCCCGCATTACGCCGCACATGATTACGAGTCTGGGATATGGCACGTACTTCTTCTTTGGCGCCGTGCTCGTCCTGATGGGCATCTGGGCGCTCTTCTTTGTTCCCGAGACTAAGGGTGTCTCGCTGGAGGACATGGATGGGCTCTTTTCCGTGCCGACAAGCAAGATCTGCTGGGCGCAGATGCGGGGCAAGCCCACGCCGCTCCCCGCGGGCAGCGGTAACGATGCAGACTCGATCACCGCTGAGAAGGGGCAAGCGAAGCATCTCGATTAGATCGATGTGCTGCGCGGGGGTTTTGATCTTTTCAAATTGCTACTCTGCAGGGAAAGATGCCGGGAGAAATCCAGGGCATGCCTAACCCGTGAAGGTAGCACGCAGCGGTGCTGGT